AGTGTATAAATTATATAATAATTTTTATAATAAAACCTATGAAAACTCATTTGTAGAATATTAGTCTCTTATTAGAAACCGAGGAATATTGCATTACATTTCATCACGCTTGAAATGTACTTAACAAACATATTGACAATATTAGTCTATTAATTCGCAAGATCAAGTGAAAACTGCATATATAAGGTATATAAATTATTAAAAAATGTAAGATAAAATTGGAGTAATTCTTTTATTGTGCTTCTTTTTCAATGTAACAAATGTTTATATTACAAACTATATATTTATTTTATTATAAAACAGTATTCTTAATTGATATTTGATAGAAAAAATCAAAATGAAGTATATATATATATATATATACATGATTAAAACAGAAAATACAAACAAAAACAATACTTTGACAAAGATAGTTCGCAATAGAACAACAATTGCGAATAACAACAGGATGCAAACAACTTAGGAACTTTTATCATTATGATAATTTCCTAAATACATCCTCATAAATCGATAAAAAATAACTTTAACTGGTCTAACTTCCCTCAACTATTGGAAAATGTATTATATTGTAATATATAATACTAATTTAAAAATTGACTATTAAATAAAGTGCGAAAACACTGTGTAGCACAGCAGAAACATTAAGGAGGACACATAGGTAAGTTCACCGAGTAGAAAATATTCAATTCAAATAATAAAGCAAAAACTAAGAATATTGCATATAATATCAAGCAAATAATACCTACTTTCTTATTCAAATGATATTTGCACAATGCGGTAACCGCGTAAAAAGCGACGACGCATGCGATAATCGAAAGCACACTGTAGCGCAGAGCGCCCGAAACTATTTCGATGTCCTTTTTGTCCATGAGTATTTTTATTAACCATGGTAAACCGAGACAAAGCAGTATGTCTAGTGTATTGGCCCCCAATGTGTTGCTCATAGCCATGTCTCCGTTACCTGAAAAAAAATTTATTTATTTCTCAAATACGACTGTGCACGCGAATAACGCTATACAAGTGTGTATCTCTTACCGTGCCGTTGTCTACTTGACATGCAATTATGTAACTTATGGTTCTTGAAAAATTAAAAAAAACGACGGCGAAAACGCAGAGTGCAAAATGGAAGCGCAAATGATATTACAAATTAAAGCAGAGTAAAAAGACACTTCGGTGCGAAAATCAGCCTGTTTTAATTTGTAATTATTTGCATCTGACATTCGTGCTTTCACGGTCTTTTTGTAAATAGTTTTTCTCATTAATTTTCTAATCCACTCAAAATTTGCGTTGTCCAGAAAAATTACCTTGTCTAGAGAGTATTACGATGGAGACGAGTTCCGGCATATTGCCGCCAGCGGCTTGGAACGTGATACCCATTACAGAATCCGGGATGCCGATGGTGTCGCCAAGAACAGTCGTCATCCACGATGACAGGTACGAAGCTATTGCGATCCATATGACGCACATTACGAATGTTGCCGGATACCAGTTCTTCCATCGTTTATACCTGCTGTCCGGTATGGTAACGAACAAGATTAGTTTTAACGGCCAAACGAACAAGAACCAGATTTTGGCTAGTCTACTGCCAGTCGGCCATACAAAGGGAGTATCTAAAAATGAGCGTTTATAAAAACACAGCGATTTGATTTGATTAATGTCGAAATTATCTTATCGTGGTGATTTATCCGTTTTACGTTTATCATCATCACTTGAATAACGGCCAAGACTGCGTGAATACCTGGTTCCACGTATTCCTCCACTTGTTCCACATGATTTTGCACCTGTACACTATTAGCCTCCACATCATTAGTGGGAGGTTTACGAGTGCCGTTTTGCCTTATGCTTTTTCTGTATTCCGCCACGAGCTCACCGTGAAAATACGGTCTGTAAAGGCCGTTAGACATTGATTCTTCCTTGTCTTCAGAAGCTATCGGATAACAAAGTACCAAATTCATACATAAACAATCCAAAGTCTCTTTTTAGAATCTTAGATAGGACACATACACGATTATCAAGAAACGCGATCCTATCTCACGCCAAGTGTATATTTATGCGACTCAATGGAAAATGCATGATTAATGAATCTCTGATGTACAAATTTATGCTATTTCAATTTCAATTATACAATTTCTATTTTTATTGAATAAATAAACAGTAAATATTCAAACGTAAAGTATCTACCAAAAAAGACAAAATTGTGCTTAATTTATAATACACAATACTAGATAATAATACACAATAATCAATAATATATTAAACTATAATCAATAATAAACTAAAAACGATAATAAATTAAATAATCTATAGATAAAGGTTTTCAGGATACAAAAAAGATATCGTAATAATTTATTTTCCGAAATTAAAATTTAAAGCGCAAGGAATAAAGTAAATGTACCTTTTACCGAACTTTTACTTGCTCTAATTACCGACCAATTTACTATTTACGTTAAAAAATAATAGCCGTTAACAGTACGATGATC